GTTGGAGGTAAAATGCACCGATTAATTGTCTTTAAATGCCTTGTCGTATGCGGTATGCAGTGCAGTTGTATACAAATTTGAGATGTTGAGAAACATACTTTTAAACAGCCGTTACCGAGCGATCCCAAAAACTTCGTTATTTACAACAAAGCGGATCTGCGGCTCGAAAATGTTACTTTGCGTAATTTTTACCACTTGCAAATGAACAACCTAGCTACGAATCAAGCCTTTAAAAAGTTTGCCCCAGAATTTACGGTAACTAGTTTCTTCGCACACATGTAAAATTGCAGGTAACTCGCAATTATTCATAATCCCGAATTTCCCTACGACCCTACGACTTATTTGACCTTTCGGAGTTCTGGATACTTAATATGTTTTCACTCGAAGTTAAACTTTTTTGCTACTACTCTGATAAAGAATTCAATTTCAGCGCACTTAAAACTTTGAACAAATTTTTAAAGATAGAAAAATTCACGCACAGTGTACCCCCCCCCCCCTAGCTCTCTTCTGGTTGTAACATTTTTTCTCTTTTCTCCTTTGTGATTTCACATTGCACTGTTCACATTTAAAATCTATCACTCTTGGCCTTTATCTATGTATCTTTTCTCTCTGTCCAATAAGCAAATTTGGGAACCTTTCAATGTTATTACTTGTTTACGAGACTGACAAAAATTCCGTTACGTCATTTTTAATTGAAGCAATTCTTATAAGTAATAGTCAAGACACCTTTATTTTTCTCTTCGGTAAGTTAAATCTAATTTACATTTTGTTATATAAATAAAATGGCACCTGTTTTACTTCACCTAAGCTTTAGTGTTATTTTTCGTAATTCCTTGTGTTTCCCCTCTTTTTCGTTTTATAAGTTTGTGGCTCCCTCGAGAAAGTAGTCTTTGCCCTTCGGCCTCCAACAACCGAGCTACCGGGTAGGTAACCTTCGCACGGCTTTTATCGTGGCAACTTTTCTTGTTAATCGCTTGACATACTTTCGTCCACGTTCGCTATGAAGCAGTACACGCTGACATTTCTTTATGTTGACCAAAATACAAATTGAAAACTAAATTTTTTAAAGCGGCACAGCCATCACAATCGACGAATCATTATATAAAAGTGTAGATCATTTACTGTTATTAGACAATAACCAAACATCTTGAAAAGTATTTCAATTTTATAAAAAATTATTTCTAGATTAATCATTGTAAGTAAAGGATACAAATTTACAGTTATTTTGGAATATAATCTCTCTTTTTAGTAAAATGCCGGAGCCGGAGTACAAGTATTAATTTATTATTGTATCTAAATATCCTTACGCCTTTGTTTTGGTTTGGACACTGTTTCTCTTGTTTGACTGATTGTCGATGTTCGGGAATTACGTAGGTTCAAACACAAAATCCGCTTTCTTGTTACTGCAGGGGTAAATCGATCGCAGCTTGACCATGGATTAGTGAATCAACGAGGACGATCTACGCTGCTGCAGCTGGAGACCCGGCTAGTGGTACGTATCCCCCTGGTGAGTTAATTAATAGTTGTAAGAACCATATTATTGTATGGTTAATGGAAAAGTAAAGTGTAAACGTACCTCTTTATAATATAATATTTTGTAACAGAGGGCTGGTCAAGGATGCGCGATTCTTTCCAGGTGATAGGTATTATGGCGAGTGATTTCCACGTTGTTATTATAACTCTATCGGCATGTACATTGTACAACTCCTGGCAGAGATATCCAGATATATTCGTAGGATCTGGAAAAGTATTATGACGCACTCACGCTGAATGAGCTTAGATCATAGTGTCGACCCAACACGAAAAAGCTAAGGCCTCATTGCTAACACAAACAGTTAGCTCGACCTGCAGATGTGGCAAGAAGTGCAATCGTACTGTATCGTATGGGTGGCGACTTCCTAGGTACAGACGTTTTCAGGCCGCACCAACAGCTGTCTGTGTGGCCTAACGACAGTCGTGGCATGACTGCCGGGCCCGCCAGCTTTACATGCCCTCCGAAGCATGGCAGTCAGGTGATGTTCTGCACCAATAAAAACTGGCAAGTTGTGGGATTCGAACTCACAACCTGTGCGGTTAGGGTCCCAATCTTATCATGATCTCTTGACCGAGAGTCCTAGCCAGAGGACCGAGGCATCTTTCCTTAGACATCTATTAGCTTCATCTTAACTCTAACCGCGCAGTGCATTGCAATTGGAGAGTTCAGGAGATCCAAAGATAAGATATGAACTACGTTATACCGTTGAGTGAAGATATTTAATTACTCAATGGTTATACATACTCTTTATTTGTACTACTTAGCGCTCGCTCAGTATGTGGGGACTCCCGGTGAATTACCTAATTAAATGGCGAATGGCGATTGTCGCGGATAAGCAGTTGCGATGTTTGTTCACATGATCCAGAGTCAGACTGACTGCCAATCCTAATGACCGTCGCATATGCATTGTAAAGGGAGGTTTTTAATGAAAGGCGAGTTTTACAGGATTCGTTGTATTTTAATAATTGATAATGCGTTCGTTCCCTATTAGTTAATTACCGACTCATCCTTACAGTACGTCAGCAGTTCTTAAGTGATGTTAATCAAAGACTCGAGGTAGAATCACCATGGGACTTTGCGTTCAAAAATTTAAATACATAATGCGAAAAATTATCGATGTGTTTATTTGTAACTGGGGAAATCTGTTACAAACTGTCAGTAGCAAAAAAACCAACAAGTTCGTTATTTCTGGTCATTAATCTATATCATCAAAAGCCTAAGACTGGGAAAAAGGTCATCGGCAAATTTAAATTTCACGCTCATCTGAATTCTAAATTTAATTTAAATTTAAAAAGGGCGGATACTCGCTATTTGGCGACGCGTAGTACGCACGACCTACCCCTAACAAATATCGTTAAGCCAATGCGGTCGATAGAAGTATATAGAGGTCGAGGACGAATTATTGCGCGTCACAAACGTTTTGACGACGTTTATAAGTCTAAAAATAGTTTTATGTAGTATTTGGAAATGATCGATTTTGATGGCCGTGGCATTGCATAAAAATTACCAGCTTTATTACAGAACACCAAGCTACTGGTAGGCACACAAGTTGCTAAAGCTTGAATCCACTATCTGGATCTCTGGATTCAACGCTATTATTGCCCAACCTCTATAAACAAATGTCCACCGTGATTTTTGATTATATAGTTGTTCAGATAAATGATAATAACTAGTTTTACTCAGTTTACCTGCTTTTTAAATTTATATTCCATATCATCAGAACTTTATAGTCAATCAGCCATATTTGAAAAAACAGCCAGACGTTCTTATGGTTTTGTAGTTCAACTTCAACTTTCAAGTTCCAATTTTTTTAGCTAAACCTTTACGCAGAATGAAAGTTTCGTGTTTTAGATGCATATTGGCGACTATTATACCAATAATCTGAAGGCTTCTTGCACTCCAATCGACTGACCATCTTCAGCCGACACTTTGTTCTGGAGATATGATTGACCCTTTGACCCTACAAATAGATATATCTGGTCCAGACGTTCCAATCGCTCTTTGTGAGTACCCTCCTCCGACACATTCTCCGAGGTATTTGTACTTAAAGCTTTGGCCTCATCAATATACAGTGCGTTCAAGATAAGAGGGCCATCTTAAAATGTATGTCTTATTTGGTTTAACCGGAATTGGAGGCAACTTTTGTTTTTCAAATGCAATGCCTATGGATTTGTCCAAAGTTCATATGGAGTCTGTTCCATAATCCGCGATGTGTTTTACAAGTAAACGGCCGTGTTTACGGCCTCAGCGCAAATCTTCTTCCCAAGTTTGGCATCAAACAAGAGACGCCTGGCATTTTCAACAATTGTTCGATTCAGATGTGCACACTTCATTTTGTTGCGGCGTTTATGGATTGGTCTTCTGATGAGTAATGCCGTTACTGGCCAAAAATTGTTCAAACGCATTACTCGCCACCATTATCGCTCCTACAAATCTTTAACTTTGTACCGGATATTTTTGCACATGTGCTTTGATCGATTTAAAACATTCAAGAACTTCATCCTTCGCATTTCCGAAGTTATTTATGAATATTTTTCAAGAATAGCCAAGTCGTCTCACCAGTGGCGTAACTACAATGCCTCAAAGGTACGCAACGAGGACGGGCCCCGACTTAAAAGGGGCCCCGGCACAAATGTACAAAAAGCAGTTAAAGCCAAAGCCATGCCGTGTTCCCCTAGAACTAATTGGACAAAAGAACCGAGCCGAAGAAACTTCCGAATCATTGTTCACAGAGGGTAAATATAAGTGAAAAATTTGGAGCAACATCTACAATATAGAAAAATTAACAATCCGAGGAAGTAACTCTTGAATTGGAATAATTTAAATCTGACTTTAATCTAATACAAAATTTGATATGCTGAAAAGTATCCAGCTCAAATAGATTTAAAAGGAACTCCGCTCCTTTCCCATTTGTGAAAAATAATATTCGGGCCCCTTACACAAATTACATGAAATTCTTTGTTGATTAGCGGCACCTTCTACAATCCAGAAGGTATCTGAAGGTCTCGGCTACGGTAACCCTGGATTGAAGTTGTATTTCGAGATGAATGTCGCTAATTAATTTTAACCCTGCACCTCTGCACGGCAAAATACGCAGATTCATACACAAAGAAGTCAAAATAAGAATAGCATTTAAAGTATAACAAACAAATTCAAGGGTTACCTACAGCCAGTTACAAGTAGGCGAATCTGGCGAAGGCAATACAATAAACCATAACACGAAGAATTACAATTAAAATTAAGTGCATTACCTTTTAAAAAAATTTAGAACAACAGTAAAAAACTTTCTGATGTCTAGTGCTTTTTACTCCCATGAGGAGTTTCTGGAATCTAGCTATAAGATGGAACTGATATGATTGTATTATTGTGATTTATGTAGTTGGTTATTAATATTAATTGTGTTATGTTTTATATCGTTGTTATTATGTTATATTGTTGACAAGTGTAAATGCCTCCTAAGGCGTAATGCATACAATAAATTCAATTCAATTCAATTCAATTCTTTTGTTATGGCACAAATATTGCACAAAACTTGACAATTAAAGTTCGAGCAAAATCAACTGGACTCTGACTGAACCCGGAAAACAAAATGACACTAAATTTTACAATGGGCCCCAAAATGAAAAATCAGCAAAGCTAAATCAAGACAGTATTTCCTACATATACAGACTAACATTGTTTAAACATTGTTGATATAAAAATTGTGACACTAATGACAGCATTGTATTTAAAGGTTAATGTATCTTTAGCGGTGCCTTGATATACGTCAATGGTATTTGAAATTTTGAAATCAGACATCTCGGAGTGGACGAAAATGCCAAAAAAACGCTGTACAGCGAAGAAATAAATTGGTTAAAATTGATCAATTCCTGAAGCCTTCACAAGCAATTCCTGTAGCTAGTCCTAACCGTCAAGTTTTTTTAATAAGTCAGAATCGAGTAACGTCAGAAGATCGATATGAGGGTGCTATCTTTGTTAAAGAATCCGAATCTTTTGGGTGCATTTCTAGTGAACTTGCATTTATATTTGTGAGATGGCTGTCATTAGAAATCCAAGGGGTTAAATTAAGCGTAATGGAAAGGGCCCCCAAATATGTTTGAAGACGGGCCCCTAAAATGAAGTTACGCCACTGCGTCTCACAGAACAAACAGAAAGCCAATGTTGGAACAGCCGCTCTGTAAATTGTTTAAGGAAAATATGCGCGAGAACTTGAACTTGATTTGAATTTTAAAACTTGTACGTTGAAACTTGATTATTGAATATTCTTCCGGTTCTTCAGACTTCTTCGGGCTTTTCGTGGTGTGCTTCGGATTTATGATTTTATACCTACTTATTCTTCTGATTTTTCAAATTCTTAATATTGGTCGAATTTTTTGGTTTCTTGACACTTTCCATATTCTTTCGATTCTTGGGATTTTTCAGAACCTTTCACTTATTTACATTCTTCTCATTCTTATGTTTCGGATTCTTCAGTTTTTTGAGGTCTTTAGATTCCTCAGGTTTTAGGATCGAACCCTGCGAATACTTCCGATATTTCGAATTCTTCTGATTCTTCCGGCTATTCTTATCGTGCAGATCTACCTCTACATTTTATAGGATGACTAAAAGGTTTTTAAATTCTTTTAATTTTGAAGATTGTTAACATTCTTAACGTACGATTATTTGTATTCTGAAGATTTTTCGGTCTTCCGATGCAATTATTCATATTATCTAAATTGCGATTCTTCGCATTTTTCCTTTTCTTCGGTAATCTGATTTTTCAGATTTTATCGACTACTTGAATTCTGTACTCCGGATTCAGTTTCTGTATTCTCTTTGTGTTCCTCGAATGCTATCGATTGGATACTTGAAATTTTACACATTCCTTGTACCCATCGAGCATTTTGGATATTTCAGATTCTTCCGTTTCTTCGAATCAGTTTTTGTTCTGTTTTTGCATACCCATATGACCCATCAAA